GATGCTAATATATTATGGTTTTTGGCGATGTAATATTAAAAAGACTTATTTCTCTTTTCGTATCTTTTGCTTATCGAATTCCTTTTTAAAGGAACGAACTTAAAAACCGGTATGGAACGTACTTTGCACTTTATTATATAAATATATGTTTAGTAATTGGTTGTTTTTACGTCTTATTATTAGTTTTTGAAACGTTCACCAAAAATATATTTCAAACTTCTGATTTCTTTTCGAACCAAAAATAAATAGTTTGATAGTGTAGCACTTGAATAAAAATCCTCATTTCGAAAGTTATTTTCAAACGAAACATTTAATCGACTAAAGTACTTTTAAGAAAGTTATTTGAAAATCACAAAGATTTCAAACATTCTAAAGAAAAGATATTTTATAATTAAATTTTAGTCCCACTCCAAAGTTTTAATAATTATAAAGAAGTCCTTTTACTTCCGTTGTATAAATGAATATCTCGATAAATCGGTTTGATTTATCGCCCCATTGGAAGGGGGTGTTACAATAAGTAATTACAAAAATTATATACTCCGCTAATTTGCAAATTTATGTCTTTTCAAAACCAGTAGACATGTAAGTTGTAAATGGGTTGAGTACTGTTTGATTAAAAAATCTTGTACATGGGGTTTGAGTGATATTTTTTATCATATGAATTTTTCCTACGATTAGGTATTTCATATGAGTACATTTTGCAAATTACTCTTGTAAATCAAGTAAATTAAAGTTTGAGAATTTCTCTAACCAAAATTTCATGGGGGAAACAAGAAGTAAGTGCTACATGAACATGAGTTGGAATTTGAGTCTACTCATTTTTTTCTCTAAGAACAATAATTTATCCTTTATCGAGTAGATCATGCATAAAATTCTTAAGGAACTTCTTTGGTTCTTTCGATGTTGCATGGTTGATTGATTTTAGGATAAAGTTCAAACATTTCGAACTTAACATATCAAATTAAACTATAGCTAATTTATTACTACTCCTTCGGTTTCGTTTTAATTGTCGTTGAAAAAAATTTGAAAAAATTACTCTTTTGGGGTTTTTCATCTTCTTTTTATTATAAGTTCATTAATTTTTAATTAATGTTAAAATAAAGTTGAGAAAGAAAATGGGGGTAACATGAAAGATACACACTTCAAAGCAAGTCATAGTAGAGCTAACTCACAACCCTAATTTATGTTTTCTTAAAAAACTCTCACCCCCCCCCCCCCCCCCCAAATTTGTTAAGCCAATTATACCCTCATCCACCAAAATAATATCACGTTCTTTTTCTCTCCACGTTGAAGTCTTCTTCCTTCTCTTTTCATATCTCTCATCTTTGCTCTTGACTTACTTATTTTCCTCGCCACCCAAATCTTCTCATCCATCTTTCCACTTTCTTTCAACTCTCTCGGTCTATAGAGGTAAGAGGTGAGGAGATAATAGCAAAAAAATCTGATCTAGAGGGTCTCACATCCTTTTGGAGCTTCATTCTTCACGTTTTCTTGGTTGACTCAACTAGTATTTTGCATTATTTTGCCCGTCTCATCAAGAGATTCATTTTAGTGAGATTCCTTTGATTTAGATCTGATTTGATGTTATGTCGACCGATTACGGGCCCTTGGGGACGTTCGTGGATTGTTCCAATTATATGAGGCGCGTGCACTGGGGTTCAAAGCGAGGATCTAGGATTTTCAAATACGATAGGCGTCTACAGTTGTGCGTGGTTGATTTCGGTTGCATGTGGTCGCCTACAATTATTTGACGATGCGCACTAGGTTACAAAAGGGTAGTTTAGGTATTTTTGATTGGTTAGTTGACTACGAATGACTTTAATCGACTACAGTTGTCTATTGTTGACTACATTTTTCTCGGTTGACTCTAGTTGCACGGCGGCACGCGTTGAGTTCAAATAGACAACATATCTATAATTTTTAGATTGAGTATAGGGTGACTATTGATAACCTAATAGACTACAATTCTCTATGTGGCTATAGTCGACTTGAACATAATAAACTTGACATAAAATAAAAAAATGAAGAAAAATGAAGAAAAAATAAAAATAAAAATAAAAATTATTACCGTAAGGAAAAAAAGGTAAATGCACCATACCCCTGATGTATGCTAAAATAACTTTAAGATCCATGAGGTATCGGTAATTAGAATCGCCCCCCTGAAATATTGTTAGAAAATATAATGCATTAGATACGTTATTCCGATAGAGTTCTAAAGGGCTATTAGTTTCAGGAAATGGTGAAGACAACATAGAGGTAGCGGGTGATTTAAAAATGTTGAGGGAGCTGTTAAGTGTATATTTTTACACTTTATCGTACCTTTTTATTTGAGCTTTTGGTGTGTTTTAACGATAATTGGCGCTTAAAAAGTTGATTTATTGTATTTTAGGTACAAATTGAAGAATTGGAAAAGTATGGGGTAAAAACTGCAATTTTGGAGAAAATATAGGCCAAAAGTGAAAAATTCAAAATTCTGAAGATTTAAAGCCTGGACGGCCGTCCGAGTTTTAGTTCAAAATGTGGGACGGCCGTCCGAGATCACGAGGAGGCGCAGTAAAGGGATTTTAATTGCACAAGGAAACTGCCTTCTTCCCCAAGTTTTCCACCCTATATAAGACCAAGCCAGGCACACAATTGGGGATCAATCTTTTTACGCAAATTCAAGAGCAAAGAAGATCAACGAAGATTCAAGCATAGTTTGTCTTATTTAATTTCTTTATTTTATTTTCTTTATCATAAGAACTACGAGTAGCTAAGTCTTTATTTCTAGGATTTTATTTGAAACCCTATTTGGGATTTATGAACCATTTTCTATGATTTTATGCAAGTTCTAATTCCGGATTATTTCTTCTACTTGTTTTATTAAGTGCATGAATTTGATCACCTTATGTGCTTTTATGTTATTGTTAATCACATGAATCGGAAGATCAGGATAAAACTTAGAACTGTGGTAGAAGAGCTTTTGTGGTATTAACATAGGAATATAGTTAATTTCTTAGGTAGCCATTATTGAGATTTGTGCTTAATGTTGTGTTATAGAATTAATTGCGTAGGAATACAGTGATTGAATCTAGAGTATTAGAATCGTAATACACGCGGAAGCGGGTTATAATTAATTTAGCATCTCAGATTAATAATTTGGGTTAATTACTTGCATAAATTGAAGGAATTGGGGGAATAATAATCACATAGGGGGAGAATAAAATCCTAGGCTCGTTTACTTTGATTAAATCTTCGCTTTACATTGCTTTCTTGTTTTTGCTTGCTTTTTAATTGAGTTTAAATTAGTTAATTCTCTCCAAATTCGACTGTGTAGGGTGAGCTTGACAATAATTGCTAGGATTTAGCGTCTAAGATTAAATAATTAAATATTCTCTGTGAGATCGATATCCGGACTTAATTGTCCACTTTATTACTTGTGCGATACGTGCACTTGCGTGTAGGTATTACACACAACAGGAGCCATGTCGCATAAATAATTTAGTAGTTTGATACTCAACAGTTTTCTCCACATTTAACACATTATTGAATTTTTCATTTGCAGGGAATTCTAGGTCTCTTAGAAGGTAGAGCTATATGATTATCGAATATAAATTTGTGTTCATATTAAGATCAACAATGACAGTTGTTATATTGATAGAATTTGACAGAACTAATATATGTATTATTCCATACTAAGAATGAAATAATATGGAATGTAAAGGTGGAAAATGTTATTTTTAAAGTATATTGTCTCAATGAAATTTTATTGATTAAAATATTCTTCTAGGAATGTTGTTAAATTCAATTTTAATGCAATTCAATTACTAATCATATTTTTTGTCTAAATTACAGCCACTCCTTGAGGTATGCTCAAATTACAAAAAAACCCTTTTTATGTTTGGGTACACCCCTCATCTATGTTTGTCTTACATATTTCTTACGGTGTCAATTTTACCTACTCAATGAAGGATTTTTTCGTAAGAAAGTACATAGTTGAAGAGGGTGCTTGTAATTATCCAAATATGAAGAATTTTTTCGTAGTTTGGACTTCCCTCAGAGAAATTATTTACCTTTTAAATCTATCAATTTTTGCAATTATGTTCCCAACTTAAAAATATCACCCAAAATTTATGAGTTTCTTTTATTTTGGATACAAAAATTTAAGTTACTTTTAGATTTCTGAAAAAAAAAAAATTGGACTTTCATCCTCAAAATTCTCAATTTCATTTTTATACGTCCAAACACTACAAAACATATTTTTTAGAACCACTTGTCAATGCCATCAGAGTGTTATGTAATAAAGTAGGAAAAAAAAAATTGTCCAAGTAATAAAGTCAAAAAATGTCTATTTATGTCATATAAATATAAGGGTAAAAAGATAATTTAACCCGTTAAGTTGAAGGGTCATCTTGTCCCATTTTATAGTATAACTTGGGTATATGCGACACCGGTCATAATACAGGGGTGAAATTTGTATTTAACATATATACATATATATATATATATATATATATATATATATATATATATATATATATATATATTATATAAAAATGGGTAAATTACAAACACCCCCCTGAGGTATGGTCAAATTTCAAAACACCCCTTTTGTTTGGATAATTACAACCACCCCCTCAACTCCTCAAATTTAGTGGAATCTTCGAGATTATATAGAATATTATCACTTTTGTACCCGTTTTATCCCATTCAAACTCTACATTATGAAGCAAGATGATCATAATATGTGATTGTTAGCTTGTATATATCAGTTTGTGGTGAATCGGAAACTGTATTTTTACACAAAACGAGTACAAACTAGAGCACATTTTACGGAATCTAGATGATTATGTTGAATTTGGCACCATAAGGGTGGAGGTGTAAGAAAAAATCATAGTTGAGGGGGGTAGATGTAATTATCCAAACAAAAGGGGGTTTTTTGTAATTTGACCATACCTCAGGGGGTGTTTGTAATTTACCCTATAAAAATTTGCAAGAAACGACTAGGGCTTTGCGATCAGAGAGAGATGACTTGTGCGGGATCCCGCGGCGACGACAACATGAAAGTTTCAGAATCGCACGGCAAGGAATCGAAGGAGAAGAAGCCGAAAACGAAGAAACCCAAGTTGCAATCGAAAAACGGCATCAGGGTTTCGGAGAAATCGAAAAGGAAGAAGAAGCGCAAGTCGCTGAAAACAGAAACTAGGGTTTCAAAAATTGAAACAGAGGAGGAGAAAATGGAGAGGAAGCGCAAGAGAAGGATCGCTATATTGAAGGAGAGAGAAGTGATCGCGGTATATCCCCTTTTTTGCTTTTAATTTCTGCTAATTTTTTTTAATATTTTTATTTGCTCTAATAATTAATTTAGTATCATAATTAAAGGGAGGCACCGCAGTCGTATTTGACAGAGATGATCCAGACACATGTATTCTTGGAGGGTATCTCAGAAAACTTGTCAACCTAGCAATCAATTTCTATAACGAAAAAAACGTATGTTTTTTTTTTTTTTCCATTTTTTTTAGGTCGAAATAGAAAGAATGAATTGATAATTCTGTATGAATGTGTTTGCAGAGCACAAATTACCATTTGGTGCACATGATCAAAGCAATCCAGTCTCTATGCCAGGGTTCGGTTTTCAGTATGACATTTACCGTGAAGCGTCCCGACGAAGATGATTCCGATGCCATAACTTTAGATGCAGAGGTTTATAGGGGAATCCCAGATACCGTAGTACACTTTGTTCGTGTGCTCGATGATGCACCTTCACTTTCATCTCTTACTACTTAGGTAAATTTTTTTTTTTTTGCTGCGTTCTGGTTTTAGTAATCCGTTCATATACATCAATGTATGAACGGGTGTATTTGTTACTTGTTGCAAATCTAGATGTTCGGTTTTTTTTTTTTTCTTCGTACGACTTGGAAATATATTAAACGAAGGTTTAACACGTTCTCGGATTTTTCGTTTGCAGGTAATTCCAGGTTTCGGAGAAGATAGAGCTATATAGTTATCGAATTGTGTTCATATTAAGATCAACATTGATAGTTGTTATGTTGATGGAATTTACTAGAACTAATATATTATTCCATAATAACAATGGAATAATAATAATAATAACAAATATTGAATGCGAAGGTGGAAAATGTTATTTTTGAAGTCTATTGCCTCAATGCAGTTTTATTGATGAAAAATTCTTCTAGGAATGCTAATTTTGTTGTCTATCAACCTGAATGAGATTGTTCACTACCAATTTTTTTTTATTTTTTTTTTTGGAAGAACGAAGGAACTCGCAACCAACTATATAAGTTCACTTAATAAATCTACACTCTCGTATAATAGTTTGTAAATTATACAAGAGACGTTAAATACATTAGGCTAACTATGTATGACAAGTTCGATCTAGTGACCATTGGCAAGAGGATTCGAAATTAGGTCAATTAACACAAACTCACTTGCTCCAACTGTTAGGCTATTCCGTTACGGGACTTAGCTACCAATTTCTTATTTTTGGGATAGGGGTTACTTATTGGCTTGTTAAATTCAGTTTTAATCCAATCCAATTACTGATTAAACAAAGAAGAATAAAAAAAAGTATTTAAAAATAACCAAATTTGAGGGAGGAAATAAAAAAAGAAAAAAAGAAAACCACTGAAATTGAAAATTGGAGGCCCATAGTTGTTTCAGTAATTGGGCCGTGAAGATAAACCCAACAGAAATGCAATCAGCATCGTATTAAAACCCCAATTCGTTAAAATACACTTATGAGCTAGGGTTTGTGTTCATTCTTCTCGGAAGCAAAAGAGAAAACTCCATCTGAGTGAACGCAGTGCCGCGCCACCGCCGCCGCCGCCGCCATGGGTCGTATGCACAGCCGCGGGTGAGCCTCCATCCGTCGTCTCATTTTATTCTACTAGTCCAGCAATTTTACATTTTTTTGAATACATTTTCGTCGTAGCATCACATTTATTTGATGCATTCTATTTTCATTTTGGTTACAGAAAGGGTATTTCAGCTTCAGCCCTACCTTACAAGAGAACTCCTCCCAGCTGGCTCAAAATCTCCTCCCAAGATGTAATTTTTTTTTCTTTCTAATTTCACATTTCTGCTTGATTTTTCGTATTTAATTGGACGCAATTTGAACTTATATGAGTGTTCATATATTAATTTGTTGAACTTATATAAGTGTTCATATATTAATTTGTTGAAATTGTCAAGGTTGATGAGAATATCTGCAAGTTTGCGAAGAAGGGGATGACGCCGTCACAGATTGGTGTGATTCTTCGTGATTCCCACGGCATTGCTCAAGTTAAGAGCGTTACCGGCAGCAAAATCCTTCGTATTCTCAAGGCTCACGGTATATATAACGAATTTCTCCGAATCAAAATGTATTTTTTTTAAATTCATTTTTGGATTATTGATTTGGGTTATTGAAATGGTTAGGGTTGGCGCCGGAGATTCCTGAGGATCTTTATCACTTGATCAAGAAGGCAGTAGCAATTAGGAAGCATTTGGAGAGGAACAGAAAGGATAAGGATTCAAAGTTTCGGTTGATTTTGGTGGAGAGCAGGATTCATCGATTGGCTCGTTACTACAAGAAGACCAAGAAGCTCCCACCTGTCTGGAAATAGTAATTATCTTCCTCTCTCTTTTCTTCTGTTCTTTTCGTTTATTAGCTTTACTATTGAATCATTAACTTATACAGATTATAGAGTGGTGTTTGCTTTTTTTACTGGGGCATAATGAATTTTACCTTTAGTTGTTATAGATGAATAAATTCCGGGTGTTCTTTTTTGACATTATCGATTAATGGCACGAACTAAATTGGTATGAGTTTATTATAGCTAACATGAGTTGGTATAAAGAACTGCAGAATTAGGTATTTATTTTAGGTTTTGCTTTATGTTCTGCTATTCTCGAACAGGTTATGTTAAAAGTGATGTCATATTAGTGCAGTTCGAATGCTATATATTTGACGATACATTTGAAATTCCTGGAGATACTAATATGGTGGAATATTAGCTTCTGTAACATGAAATGAAATCGGTATCATTAATAAATATTGCTAGATTTCTACTACCGGAGAGAGTTGATGACGTTTTTTGTTTGTGCAACGAACTTGTATTATTTCCAAGAAACAGTTAATTCTTTTGAAACAACTAAAGGAATACCTTGTTTCGTGTTCGTTTGCTGTTTTGGAGTGCATATGTGTGTGTGTTGTTACTAATCATTCTTTGTAATTTTAGATTTATATGTAATGCACCTTGTCTCCTTTTTCAAATTCTTGACGTGAACTTAATCTCGTGCAGCGAATCAACTACGGCCAGCACACTCGTGGCATAAGCTGTGAATTTTCCAGGGTATTCGGTAGAGCAATGACAAAGATGCATCATCTTTCATGAGTCAGTACACTGGATTTTTTTTTTTTTTTTTTTTTTTGTATTTTAGCAAAAAAGAAATGTTGTGTTGGTATTGAAATTTTATCTGTGTTTATTTGACAATTTTAGTAGAAAGTGAATGACAGATTTTAAATTTGATTCACTTGTTCAATTGATTATGGACTTGACCTTTTTTTGCTTTTATGTTTCAAGTGTTTTTAGCTATACTGTCAAGTATGGCCTTTAAGCCATTTTTCGATTACCTTCAATTAGCTATGAAAAGACCTCAATTGTTTATGCTTTTAAGATCTTTATATGACAAAAATTGCCAGTCCACAAAATTAAAAGTTGAATATTATGATTGAAACATCCTAAAAGATGAAGTGAGATTCATATTGATAGTTATTTTGTTGATGGAATTGCTCGCACTAGTATTCTATTATTCCATGATAAATCTATTGCCATTCGGGAAGCTTGTCACTTCAAAGGTGGAAAATGTTGATGTTTGCAGCCGATTGTCTCAATGCAATTTTATTTAGGCCGCGGCTATATGTAATACTAATTTCAATCGTGCATGCAAGACCAAATTAAAGAAATATTCTAAAAGATCTATTTTATTAAGATGAAATGACGAGTATACCCATATATTAAATTGGATTTTGTTTGTTCATGCAAGATCAAATAACAAAAAAAAAAAAAAAAAAAAAAACCCGCCCCCCCTTTGAAACTCTTCCCCGTCGCCATACCTGCGCCGCCCAAATTCTGCCGCCGCAAGCTCCTCGCCGACCGCCACCGCTCACAACCATAAGCGACCTAAACCCATTCAACAATGCCGTCGACGTCAGTATTTTTCAACTTTGATTGAAAATTTCGAAAAGGGTTATTTAAATTCGATAAATCCGTAGTTTTATTTTGTTAAAATAACATTAAGAAGCTTCCGTTGATGAATTGTTGTTTGGTGGGCAGGTTTTTGATTTGTTTTGATTCATATTCATTCGACCTGCAAATGTCGTTTTTGAAAGGGAAAATTCGACATTTGTAGGTCGAATTTGGCTGCTATATTTCAACACATGTCGATTTTCATTACTGTTTCTCGACATTTTGAACGATTTCTAACCATAAAAATCGACGCCCATATGTCGTTTTTCATGGTCAGGAATCAACATCTTCTAGATGTCGAGAAACATTAATAGAAATCTACACCAAGATGTCGATTTGTATGGTCAGAAATTGACATCTACAAGATGTCGAAATTTAACCTTTTGAATTTTTTTTAATGTAATTGTTGTTGGTTTTTTGTAGAGGATGCTCGTGTACGACAGACCGCTTCCGAGCGAAAGAGGAAATCCACAGTATGTCATCCTCATGCTCCCCCCTGCTGCACCCCAAGCACCAGTTCTTAGAGCGTGTAAATCGAAGAAGAAGAAAAATATATGATTTATGTTCGATTTTTAGGATATATGATACATTTTCTAGATTTATGTTACATTTTCTAGACGTATGTTAGATTATGTCGATTTCGTTGAATTTTGGTGGATTTTTGATTTTGTGGATTTTTATGAATTTTTTGATGGATTTTTGAGATATGAATGGATGTGCATTTATAGAATGAACTATATATACGAACGCTATATTATGAAATATGCTGAACAGGTCCTTCAAAATAAACATTGTTTAGATAGAACTAATCTAGAGTTATGGTCTCTCGTAATGCAACGTTCGAACCGACTAAACCTTTAAAAGTCGCAATTCTATTCTCGGTATCGGGTGTCTTCTAACCATCTGACTTGGTATCGTGGTATTGTATCCAATGATCTGCGATAGGAAGCATAGGACAATTGTTCTTCAAGACGACATGTACAAAATGATTGTTGTTCACGAATGCTAGGCCATGCTCTTGGCGCACCATATATAGTCTTCTACGTTTATTGAGTCCATGATTTGATGACTTGATTGTAAAGACTATTCCGAGACATCTACCCACTTCTCTCACCCATTGCAGCAATTCATCCCTTGTTGCAAATGTATCATGCTTGATAAATTACTAGACTAGTCAATTGCTAAATCCTCATTTTGTTCAACCTTAAAAAAAATTAAAATTTGAAACTGGTAAAAATCGACACCAAGGTGTCGAAAAACTATGCTAGAAATCGACACTTATACGTCGAAAAACAGACCAAAATTCGACCTCAAGAGTATATCGAATTTGGTAGGTACAAATCGACAACATAATGTCGAATTATAGCAGAAAATTCGACATTGTGAAATGTCGAATTTTCTACTACAAAATCGACATCTCAATGTCGATTTTTACCTATCAAATTCGACTTGTACATGTCAACCGCGTATGCGTGAGATGTTTTTGGGAAAACGATATTCTTGCTAAAATACACATAAATGCATACCTTATTGGGTCTTTCCACGGTAGAATCTTCCATTTTGATGTCTTCTGACTCCATACTTGTCATCTTTGTAAAATTTGTTGAGTTTTGAGGGTTTTGTGGGTTTATGGAGGAGTAAGGAGAAATGTTTTGTGGTTTTGGAAGATGGAGAAGATGAAAGTTGGTCTTGTGGTTTTGTGATAGGGTTTTTTGTGGTTTTGAGTTTTTGGTATTGCACATTTAGATTTTTCTATTTTTTTAACAAGTAAGGGTATTATAGTATTTATACATCGAAATTTTTAATTTGGTCTTGGATGATTGAAATTAATATTGCATTTAGCCGCAGTCTTTTATCTATCGAAAATCAAACCTCCAAACTTTATCGGATAAAGTCAAGATTATATTGACTAGATTACGTAATTCAAATATTCTTCTAAGAATGCTAATTTTCTTGTCCACAACCTTTGCTAAATAGGAGGGTGTTTGGCTAAACTTATAAGATATTAAAATAAGCTTATAAGATGGTTTAGAGTTATAAGCTCTTTTAAGGTGTTTGGTAATTTTTTTAAAAAAAGATCTTAGTTTTTTATAAAATAAGTTATTGGAGAGCAAATAAGATCTTTTAAAAAAAGTACATCTGCCCCACCTAAGATCTTATAATTAGTAAAAATAGGAAATAAGTTTAGTATCCAATCACTCTAAAAATTAATCCAAAAAATAAAGTGTAACAACTTATCAGCTCTTAAAACATCTTATCGTAAGAGCTTATCAGCTATTTAATATAAACTTAGGCAAACACCCTCCAAGATTGTTCTCAACCAATTTCTTATTTTTTAGATAAGGATACGAGTGTTTCACTCACTAAATTCGTTGAATTGTACTGAAATTTTGAACACCAAAATTTCATATCGTTTACCGAATCGAAATCAAACCGAAATACACTGTTCGATTTGGTAAGTTGCCGAATAACAAAAACAAATATTAAAAATATTTAAAAATTATTTAAAAAATTTGAGTTTTTATAATGTTTGAATAAAAAAATTTAGTATAAATATTAATATTGCATATTTATTAAAAAAAAAATGTTTAAAGTGCGAAAATAACTACTGAAATTGAAAATGGAGGCCCATAGCTCAACTTGATGAAGTAACCTTCTTTTAGTAATTGGGCCGTAAAGATAAACCCAACAGAAATGCAATCTCCAATCACCGTCGTATTAAAACCCCAATTCGTAAAACTACACCCTGAGCTAGGGTTTGTGGCCATTGTTTTCGGAAGCAAAAGAGAAAACTCCCATCGGTGTGAACACAGTGCCGCGCCACCACCGCCGCCGCCACCATGGGTCGTATGCACAGCCGCGGGTGAGCCTCTCTCCGTCGTCTCCTTGTCAATCTACTAATCCAACTATTTATTTTTTTTGAATTCATTTTCTCTTAGCGTCACATTTATTTGATGCATTATGTTTTCATTTTGGTTGCAGAAAGGGTATTTCTGCTTCAGCCCTACCTTACAAGAGAACTCCTCCCAGCTGGCTCAAAATCTCTTCCCAAGATGTTAACTTTTTTTCCTTTCTAATTTCACATTTATGCTTGATTTTTCGTATTTAATTGGATGCCATTTGAACTTATATAAGTTGTTCATATATTCATTTGTTGAAATTGTAAAGGTTGATGAGAATATCTGCAAGTTCGCAAAGAAGGGGATGACTCCATCACAGATTGGTGTGATTCTTCGTGATTCCCACGGCATTGCTCAGGTTAAGAGCGTTACCGGCAGCAAAATCCTTCGTATTCTCAAGGCTCACGGTATAACCAATTTCCGCTATTGAATTTTAAATATTTCGACCGAATCAAAAGAATTAATTCTTTTTTGGATTATCGATTTCCGTAATTGAAATGGTTAGGGTTGGCGCCTGAGATTCCTGAGGATCTTTATCACTTGATCAAGAAGGCAGTAGCAATAAGGAAGCATTTGGAGAGGAACAGAAAGGATAAGGATTCCAAGTTTCGGTTGATTTTGGTGGAGAGCAGGATTCACCGATTGGCTCGTTACTACAAGAAGACCAAGAAGCTCCCACCTGTCTGGAAATAGTAATTATCTTACCCCTTTTCTTTAAATTTCTTTATTTTACTGCATATTAACTGAAATGACCGGTTATTTTTTGTTCCTTAACTTTGTTATTGAATCATTAGTATACCTTTGCTGCTGCATAATGAATTTTGCCCTTAGTTGTTTTGATTAATAAGTTTTGGTGCTTATGCTTTGACATTTTGTTTAATGGCATAAAATAAATTAGAATGCGTTATAGATAAAAAAAAAATACGCAATTAGGTATTTGTTTTAGCTTTTGCCTTGGTATAATGTATAACCAGTTTATGTTTGAACCAAAGTCATTCTCGTACAGTTTTAATGCTATATATTGAGGACACATTTAAATTTTCCGGGTGATTCTCATATGGTAGAATATTAGCTTATGTAAAATAAGCTTATGTATCAATAATAAATATCACTATATTTCTACTACCTGATTTGTCAAACGTAGCAAGTAGTCGATTACAATTTTTTTTATCTTAGATGAACTTGTAGTATTTCAAAATAACAGTTAATTATTTTGAAACAAGTTGAAGCACCTCGTTGTGTTCATGTTTCCAGTACACCGTCTAGTATTTCTTTGTAAGTTAGAATATAATGCGTATGGTTTCTTTCTTTTTTATGAGAACTTTCCGTTTTGCAGCGAATCGACCACTGCCAGCACACTGGTGGCTTAGGCTGTGGATTTCCCATGGGGTATTCAGGAGAGCAACGAGTGAATCATCTGTTATGAGTTAGTACACTGGAATTTTTTTTTGTGTTGGTTTTGAATTTTATCTTTTATTCGACAATTTTACTAGCAAGTGGATGACAGATTTTGAATCTTGTGTTTGTTCACTGTTTCATTATTGTTTTGTAGCCGTGTTGACCAACAACTTGTTCAATTGACTATGGACACAAGTTTTTTGCTTTGGTTGATCTGTTATGTGTGTTTAGCTATTTTTCGATTATTTGCTCGTCGTTTGTATTATTAAATTCTTTATAGGCGAAATTGCCGGTTTTCGAAAGTATAACATATATTACATTTATGATCTGCCAAATATTTCGAATCATTTGCAATGTGCAAAATGTTTTTCCACATCTTAAATTCACATCATGCAATGAGATTGTGGCGAATGCTCGAGCCAAACTCGTCTATTTTTTGAAGGCTCCTTCAAGTATTATTTTTAATTATAATACAATTAATAATTGTAATTAAAAATCAATTATAAATAAATTTAATATAACTAATTCAAAAATGTTAATATTTAAATTGGTCTTGCAATTACCAAACTTCAGAGATTTTATTTTTCATTTGCAACCCGAAAAGTAGATACCACGCTCGTAGAGCTCGTATTCTATACATCAAGTTTGTCATATATAAATTTTCTATTGTGTAGTTTATATCTCGTGCAAATTATTAACTATTGCACGACAGTATATATTTACACAATGTACTTGTATGATTTACTGCAAATTCCTTTGCATAAAAAACACGGTGACACGGTGATTCGTATCTAAGATTCTAGTATAAAGAAAATTAAAATGCCGAAAAAAATCTAAAAGCCACAAATATTGGAGTAATATTTTTTGGGTGCATGTGAGTTGCCTAAAAAAATTCTTCATATGACTATCATACGAATATTTTCCTACCTAGCATGGAAACTTCAACTTTTTAATATTTTTCCTATTAAAAAATTCGTTTCGGACACGTTTCGTGGACGATACTCGAGGACCGGACACCTTATGGGCTATTTTGTAACTTTTAAAAAATTAGAAATATGTTTGAATAACAATTTATTTTAAATATTTTTGTTGCTACTCTAATTATTTACATGATTTAATAATCAATTGTAAATTGATAGTTGTTTATTTTGAATATGTTTGTATGAAAATATAAAAAAATAATTTATATATAAATAAAAATTTATATATGTTTATATTGCATATTATAAAAATACCCCAATATTTTTTAATATTTACACATTTCCTCCAAGCTCCCATATCCTCATTTTGGGATATGCCGTTTCCCCGTTTTCCCGTATCGACATTTCCCTGTCTGTGTTACATAGATATTAAAAAAAAAAATTATATCTAAAATCCTTTTGGAAATGTATTTCTAAAGATGCAACATAATCTTTCTTATGAATTAAGAGGTGGAATTAAATATTAAAAATTAAAAATTAAAAAAAAAAAAAAAAAGAAAAAAAAAAGGCTCATTGGGCTTTTCGTAATTACGGTGGATCTGAGGGCAGGCAGAGGCAATTATCTGAAAAAAAGAAAGAAAAACCCTAGCCCTACTAGGTTTATAAACTCCCATCTAAAATTCACTCACCTCAATTTTGCCCCAAGTCGTCGAATCTCTTCAGTTTTCTCTCATCTCCGCCGCCGCACTTTTCTTAAATCCACCACCGGTAACGATTATCTATCTGAAATTCTAATAGCTTTAGATCACCAGATATACTTCCGATTTCTTTTTGCTAAGATCTACATCAATTTTATTTTCCCTATTTAAAGTGTGATTTTAAATCTCTGCTCACAGGAAGAAAAAATGGCGTACGCAGCGATGAAGCCGACGAAGCCGGGTCTGGAGGAGCCCCAGGAGGTGATCCACAAGATCCGCATCACTCTTTCCTCGAAGAATGTCAAGAATCTCGAGAAAGGTAACCGCTTTTTAATCTCTAATATTTTATTTTGCTATTTTAATCGACATAAATTGATAGTGTATGCTGTGCGATTAGTCACTTCTGTTGAATTTTAGCGACGAAAATTCATGTTGTTTCTGCGACGAATTTCCTGTATTTTTGTGTTATTGAGAGAATAAAAGTGTATTTCATGAAATAGGCTGTCAATTAACCTATTTGGTCAACTATTCGGAAATTCGAGGTTTTATTTATTATGCGACTATGGTTTTTGATTGTTAATCAAGTATTCCTTGTACATGGATTTGTATAAGCTGATAAAATTCGGTGTATGTGAATTACCAATGTTGTAAAGTTAAAATTGTTTTTCATTTCTTCGAGTTTACTACACGATAATTTTAGAAGTAACGATAATCGACCATTAAGTCAATGTTAAATTGCATAAAATTGTATTTATTAAGAATGAATTACCAGAAAATGATCGATGGGGTTTGTTCTGCTCTATTTTCCATTGTATGGATTGGAATTTTCTTCACTGTCTTACAGAATGGATTTTTTTTTTACTACTGAGTATATATTCTATGTTCTGATAAATTTAGTTTAGTCTGAGATGTATGGATACTGAAATTATTTGAGGGAATATTGACCGAAAGTTGTCTTGAACAGTTTGTTCTGACTTGGTACGTGGCGCTAAGGACAAAAGGCTCAGAGTTAAGGGCCCGGTGAGAATGCCGACCAGGGTTCTCCTTATCACCACCCGAAAGTCTCCTTGTGGTGAAGGTATTAATTCTATATCAAAGCTTTAATAATCAATTTCTTCCGTAAGTTTTTTTTGCTTATGTGGATCTTTCATTATTATCCGGTGGTATAGTTTGTATGTTTCAGCTACTCGGTCAAATTTTTAAATCTTTTTATGTATCTTTTGTATAAATTAATGCATTTCTTTTTGTTGCAAGAAAAGGAAGTTAATTCATTTTTGCTGAATTCTTGATGTGAAATCTTCCTTAGACTTGTCAATATGGTTACTATCTTTCAAAGATAGTTCTTTTAATTTATATTTCATTTTTTGGTTGTGATTTTTTCACGATTTTACAATTTGATTTGGTGTATTATGTAAAGTACATCTCCATAGCTCATTTGTAATGCATAGAGAAATTGGAAATGTAGTAGAAGTGTTTTTGGCATGACATTGTTATTACATCTTCTGACCTAATTTTGTGGAATTTGGTTTTTAGGAACGAATACATTCGATAGGTTTGAGATGCGACTACACAAGCGTGTGATTGACCTTTTCAGCTCTCCGGATGTCGTGAAGCAAATTACTTCAATCACCATTGAACCCGGTGTTGAAGTCGAAGTCACAATCGCCGATTCCTAGATAATATCTATTGGCCTTACTTTGCCTGTATTTTCTGCATTTGCTACTTACGTTGAAGACTAGTTTATTTATTTTGACATATTAGAAGTTTTGAAATTTTAATCTTTTTTCGGCAAATGGATCTGTTGACCTTTTATATTTAGTAGCAAGGTTGTGAAAGACCATCAACTAAAGTGGTGAATGGATGAATGTAGGTATTTTCTTTATTTAAGATTTAAATTATTGATGAACTTGTTTTTTAAAGTATTGAAATGATTTTGTTATGGTTTCGTCACTGTCTGAACTTGTATCGATGTATCCCATTGGGCAGTTCACGGTGGCGCGTGAAATACTCTTTTATCTAAAAGGATAAATTATGAAAACTCCCCTGAACTTGGGTTAAATAATGAAAAACACCCCTATCTATTTGTAATAACCAAAATCCTCTTTTGATTAACTTGAACTTGGGTTAAATAATGAATAACACCCCTATTTATTTGTAATAACTAAAATCCTCTTTTGATTAACTAAGGGTGGAAATTTGAATGGAATTTTAGAATTCCGCCGATTTGGATAAAAATATATCCGAATTTGGAACCCTTTTTTTCATTGCGATTTCCAATATTCCGATTTCCTATTATTTTTGGAATGGAATTGGAATTACATATAAAATTATTGGAAATTCGATTTCCGATCCTATTTTATTTCCGAAATATAATATATACATATATATATATATATATATATATATTATGTTTAAGAATTGTTTTTGTATTCATGTTTTGCAAGAACTATGTTTTTACTTTGATAAACTGATCTGAAATGATTTGTGCAGGCACATATTAAACAGTCAGGCACATTTTTTACCATTCTTCAAAAAAAAAAAAAGTGAAAAAACTCAAAAACTCTCTCAACCTTTCGATTTTCTTTCGCAAAGCCCGTGCAAATCGTCAACAGATCGGAGGTAATTTTTACGTTTTTACGATCCTCTTGTTATGTAGATTACGAATCCGAAAAAAAAAACGAAAAAAATCGGACTTTGGCTGCTCGTGTGAATTTACACGAGCGCATCCACTGCGCTCGTGTAAATCCACACGAGCAGGCCAAATTATTATTTTTTTTTTAGTTGCTCGTGTAAAAACACACGAGTGGTTGCAAAGGGCTCGTGTGATTTCACACGAACGCTTTTCAACCGCTCGCGCGTTTTTACACGAGCATTTTTAATTTTTTTTATTTTTTTTTTTATAAATTTATGTTTTGAATTATAATATGCTCGTGCAAAAATATGCGAGCATTTCAACAGTGCTCGTGTGAAATCAGACGAGCACTGTTGAAATGCTCGCATGTTTTTGCACGAGCACAACAATTTAATTTTATTTTTTTATTTTTTTCATTTCATTATTTAAATGTTTTTTTTTATTATATGAAATATTAATAAAGTGTTTATTTTCAATTGTAGATGGCAGGAGGAGGCCGGGGGAAAAGTCTTATGAGTCAAGTTGCCGGTAAAGGCAAGAGCTTAATGAAAGCCTTGAGCGGGAAGGGGAACAATCCGGAAGATCCGGATCGCATTGGAGACCGAGATGTCCTTGCTTCCGCCCGTAGAAGAGAGCAGTTAGCTCGAGAAGCAGCGTTACAGCGGGAAGAAGAGAGACTGAGACGAGAAGCTGTTGCAGCTGGAGCCGAACCCTCTGGACCTACACGCGACCTCCAGCTAGCTCGTAGTACATTGCCACATGCCGACGACGATGATGACCACAACAACAATCCCGATAATATGGATACTGACGAGGAGACGGAGGAAGATGATGAGCCAGGTGTATATCAGGGTCGTAGAGGTGGTCGTGCCTTACCCTTTCTGCAGCTGCCTGGTCCGGCGTACTTGGAGGGTCCGTGCGAGGGAGGGCCACAAAATTACGAGTTTATGCGATGGTTCAAGTCGCATATAGCGATGTACATTTGGGAAGGATATGTAAGTTTTCTGTCAACACGTGCTTTACATAATTCTTATATTATTCATTTTTTTTAGCTAACAATACATGCAATATTTTTCAGGAGCGCCGTGAAACTACACGGTGCGAGTCGAGGAGCAAAGCACTCGAGGACTACCGCGGCCCGCAGGATAACACGATGATTGCGAGGCTGGAGGCAACAGGTCTTTACCACTTACGAGACTGTTTTCTGAAGAGGATGAACAAGAACCTCATGCTAGCTTTCGTGGAGAGGTGGCAGCCGGAGACGAACAGTTTCCACATGCCATGGGGCGAGATGACGATCACGCTCCACGATGTCGCTTTCATCCTGGCGTTGCGGCTGGACGGACCGCCAGTGTCTGAAATTCGCCCGGTAGAAGAGTGCTCATAGAGTCTTGCATCTCTATTGGGTGTTCTGTTTGGTTGGGTCTGTTTCTACTTGATGAAGGGCTACTTGATATCTCGGACCTATTATAGCTTGGGCGGAAATAGCGTTTGTAAAAACGCTATGTAATCCTACGATAGCATTTTTCACGCGCTATGAATGGAGTTTTGTGTTGTAGTGAGCCGTGGTGGATCCATTTTACCAACGATCTCGATAATGTCGGCAAGTATTCGTGGGCTTCGGCATGCTTAGCAAACATGTACCGCCAATTGGGTATTGCCACCCGCGCTGGGATGAACAGTCTCTGTGGATGTGTTATTCTCCTTCTGGTACGTGTACCTTTATTAGTAATTATTTATTTATTTAAACTTCTATGTAGGTAATATCAACAACGTTTCATTGGTTTTTGTTTGCAGTGCTGGATCTTTGAGTATTTCCCCTGCTTTCGACCACCTCTTTCCCGTTCATATGCCGAGTTTGAGCCTCGATGCAGAAGGTGGGCCCATGGTGGAGGCAATAAAACCACGCTGCAGGAATACCGGAAAAAACTCGACGCCATGACCGAAAGAGATGTGAGTAATAATTTTTCTAATTATGTCTATAGTAGAGTTACGAATTTCTCTAATTAGTTTAAAATATGCTTAGGTTTGTTGGACCCCGTATGGTACCGGTGCACATTACTTGCATCCTCGGAGCATGTATTACGGCACGATACAGTTCATGGATATAGTGGAGCCGTACATGCCCGACCGAGCGTTGCGACACGATTTGCACCTGACTGTTGGTATTCGTGTGTTGTGATTTGTTGTTTGTTTTCGGATTTAGTTATTTGTACGGATGTTTCATTTTGGATTTACGGAATTTTCTTATTTGCCCGTATTTTAATTACGTTGTTATCGGACTTACTTATTTAGTTATTTGTACGGATTATAATTATGTTGTATCGAACGAAATTATATTTTAATTTGTATTATTAACGAATAAAAGAATAAAACAAAAAAAAATCAAAAAAAGATTAAAAAAATAAAAAATTGTGTTGCTCGTGCGTTTCCACACGAACATAGATGTTCTGCTCGTGTGAAAACACACGAGTAGAATGTCTTTGTTCGTGTGTTAATACACGAGTACTTTTTCCACGTCATTTTTATTTTTTTTAATTGTTTTTTAATTTTTGTTTTTAATATTTGTTTTGAATTTTTTATTTAATTTTTTTAAACCTGTTCGTGTGATTTCACACGAACAGAGAAGGTTTGCACGTGTGATTTCACACGTGCAAAACGCCTCTGTTCGTGTGAAATCACACGGACAGATTAATTTTTTTTTTTTTTTTTTTTTTTTTTTTCGATTTTCCCATGTGAAATTTGACTAATAATAATTAGTTTTACAAACTCAACTAATAGTTCAACAATTATTAATTTACAAAAAATCAAGTAATTGTTCAACAAAATTACAATAATACAGTACTACCTATGCCTAGAAGTCAACGTCGTCCAAAAAGCAAGTCAATCCGCGTAAAAATCTCGTAGAGGTAGTAAATTGGGAGCTGCAAAATACCTCCACTGAGGATGGAGACGAGGAAGAGGGCATGAAACCGGTACTCGTATGATCATAAAATGATCGTTATGTAGCGACATAGGAATAATACGTGATAACGCGGGGTTCCCAACTAGTGGTAGATAAGTGATGCTACCCTGTTCAGTAAATATTAATACCATTGCGTTGTATCTTGTAGCGATCGCCAACCCCATATCTGTTGACATCCATTTCGTCCGTGGCGCCGGTCCGCTCTCATGACTGCATGTCAAGATATAATCAGCGAGTGTATTGCGACCCCCCCTCATCCCCACCGTAAATAGTAGCATATAGATTGTAACGCTCCATAAACTCCTCAACCAAGTCAGTTCTGACTTGTGGCCATCTCTCTTGACTGCCGTAAACAACTTCGGCTATGCACCGGTAGCCACAATTTCCATCGGCCCTCACATTAACATATGAGGCTACGGACTGTGCGAGAAACGGAGGAAGGAAGGAAAAGAAATTGACCCGGTCCCCGGCAATAACAACTGATTCTTCCGTCGATTTAGTACGTCCGCGAGGACGACCTTTAACCTTTGACTCTGGCGTACCAGCTTTAAGTTTTGACTCTGGCGTCACTTCGGTCGGGGTTTTGCGACCCTTAGAGCCCGAAGAAGATTTAACTTCGGATTTCCGATTCATCATGTGCTCATATCCGGACAAGTTCCTCTTCGTCGAGTTATTCTTAGGTCGTCCCTTGGCCTTCACAAATGACGGCTCTTGTAAATGCGTTGAAGAAGGATTATTTAGGTCCCGTAAATAGTCGGCCGCATTTTTTAGGGACATGTAATCTTTGTTTGATAACTTCTCGAACTCATCGAGAAGAACTTTCTTAATTGCAACTGTGCGATCAAACGGTTCCTCCTCGTCCTCCCATGGATCCGACTTCGGGTCGACAACCAACGTTCTCCAGAATGGATGTAACTGTTGCGGATAAAAAGTATCTCCCTCAGCAATTTTAACTGCAATCATACACGCACACGGGAGTCCGTGGGTTCAGCTTAGGTAACAGTTGCAACTATCCGGATTCTCTTCCAACTTTTCGTACTCTTTATCCAACAGGTCCAGTGCTTTGTGTGATACATTACATACCAAAGCACCGAAGCACGGCAGTGAAGTACTGTACATCCTGACTGTTCTACTGCTCTCGTTTTCCACCTTCAATTCATTAATTTGAAGGTCAACTTGCGCATCTAGTGCATTTTGAACTGTATCCATAGCTCCAGTCGATGTTTGGATCCAACGCTTCGATGCACGATGTGCACTCTCTACCCTGTTTCGAGAAAACACTCAAATAATGAATAAATGTAACATGTGTATAAAAGATTGTACGTAACGAGTTTATAGTAAAATCAATTTATATACCTGTTAGTCGTCGTGTTACCGAAATGAACGATGTTGTTGGTCCAACACTTAACAAATCTCTCATTATAAATCAACCACGTTTCATTGATGTAAGTTATCAACTTCGGATATTGCCCGTACAAACTAACTATCTCTCTATAGTTGCATTCGTATTCTTCCTCAGTCTCAGATTCGACTAACTTTGCCCACACCGTCCTCCGGAACAGTACACCCAACTTGGTGTTACCCAAGAATTTTGACGCGTTTGCCTCAACGTTTCTGTTTATGTGATATAAACATAACATGTGATGCGAATGTGGAAACACGTTTGGCGATGCTTTCAGTAGGCCCAACTCACGATCTGTCAGTATCACTTCTGGTTCTATCCCGATTGGTAATATGTCTCGCAAACATCGCAATGTCCATGCATAAGTGTCCCCATCTTCACGTGACATAAAAGCAACGGCAATAGTGAAGTTCCTTCCCACGGGAGTAACCCCAATGATCTCCAAAAGAGGCATTTCATATCTACATGAAGGTAATTATAATTTAGTCAACTCTTATATATATATATATATATATATATATATATATATATATATATATATATATATATATATATATATATATATATATATATATATATATATATATATATATATATATATATATATATATATATATATATATATATATATATATATATATATATATATAATAAATGTAATTCACATTTAAATAATTATTACTTGTTAGTCTTGTACGTGCAATCCACCAGGATGACGTATGGAAATAACTGCAAAAGCATTATTGAATCAGGGTGCGCAAACATAACGTCTTGCACTGCATCACTAGCTGGATTTGTTCGATGCCATTTGCTGTATCCACTCTCACTTAGTTCGTGCCACAGATGTTGTATAACTGTTTTTCCTTTCATTTCCTCTCGTCTAATTCTCTGTGATTCATTGTACACATCTCTCAAGGCCGCAGCCGTATCCGGATTCATCCGTCTTAGATGATGCAAAATTTCCTTCGGCTTCACATGGCTCTTTTTCAGTATCTTTGTCACTTCTCGTTGCTCTTCACTCAGGCGACTTAGCGAACGTAGTCCTTGTGGATATTTATGAGGAAAATGATTGTGATTGTCATCTTTGATGGTAAGACGCCATAATCCATCACGACCCTCTTTACCCCATAGCGCAAAAGGGCATTTACACTTTATTGAACCGGACTTCCGGCTTGTTTTGACCTCTGCATTTTTTCCTCGTCTCTTGTAGGCTCTTTTACAAGTCAAATATTGTCGGCCCTCGTGGTAAGACTGTCGCCTAATCTCATGTCCTTGACTGATGGCCATATTCATCGCCCACTCGACTAGTGCATCTTTACTATCAAATGCAGTCGAAATTGTGAAAAATTCACTGTAATCATGTAGCTCGAATGTTTCAATATCTTCATCCACATCTATGTATACTTCATGTTTTTATATTAATGTAGTTAGCAAATTATAAAACTAAAGAATAAAACAAACAAAAAAAAAATTTAAAAAATTGTGTTGCTCGTGTGATTTCACACGAACAGAGACGTTCTGCTCGTGTGATTTTAAACGAGCAGGTGCCACCTGTTCGTGTAAAATCGCACGAGCAAATATTAAAAACAAAAAAACAATTTCTTAATTTCTTATTTGAATTTACGCGAGCACTTGGCAAGTGCTCGCGTAAATTCACACGAGCACATGAATAAAAAAAAAATCATCTCCTCGTGTGAATTTACACGAGCACTTGCCAAGTGCTCGCGTAAATTCACACGAGCAGATAAGGTTGTGGGAAAAAACAAAAAACTTACATTCGGGTCTAAGTTGTTTGGATCCATCGCAAAAATTGTTGAATATCTGAATTTTTTCACTTTGAATGTTGAGTTTTATATTTTATAGGATTGGGTAGGAATAGTACAAAAGGTAAATAGTTATGGTAAAAAGGTAAAAAATCATGGTAAAAAAGTGCTTGAATGTTTAATTTGGCATGCGTATATTATTACCCTAAACTGATTATATTGTTTTTATAAGTGTTTACATTTCATCTTATTGACATTTGTTTTGGATTCTTGCATTTTGCCAGAAAATTACAAAAATATTGGAATGTTTTTTTCTAATTATTAACATTATTTCCGATTTTCGAACAAAAAATTAAGAATTAATGCGACTTCCGAAAATTATGAAATCCTGCCGATTCCAAGGTATTCCGAAATTGGAATGGATTTTGAAATTTCGATTTCTTTGGAATGGAAATCGGAACTTATTTTTAACTTCCGAAAAAAATTGAAAAATTTCCGAAAAAGGCATTTCCGATCCATTCCGTCCAATTTCCACCCCTATAATTAACTGTTGATTGAATTTTTTAAATAGAAAGTATGTACAGTCTATTATACCTTATGTTAAAGAGGTGAGAAATAAAAGGGACTGGTGTAAGACCGAAACAAGCCTTTGGGGGTTTTTGGTAATTAAGAATAGGTGGGGGCATGTTTTGTTATTTAGCCTAAGTTAAGGGGTATTTCGTAGTTTACCCTATCTAAAAAGTAAAAACACAACCTCAGCTCTGATATAGGAGAAAGATAGACAAATGTCAGAACAAATGGGACCCACATAAGAGCCCAAAAAAGGGCATCTATATGATTCCGTTTTGTTTTGAGCTTTGGGCCTTAAAAATAGGCTCTACTTATTGGGCCCACATTTCACTTTCTTGCTCAGCTGTTTAGTGGGCCCACTCATTTAAAACACACTAACTTCCGAAACATAATTAGAGATAGCCAGCGCCATTCACTCCTTCATTAACATTCCCTTATATTCCTCCTCCTCAAATAAATAAATAATAAAATAAAATAAAATATTTCCACTATACTCTTTTTTAGAGCTATAAATTATTGATTAAATATATTACATGTTTGATTGCAAGTATTAGAAATTATAATTTTATTTTGCGGGTCACACATTTCCTATTAGTAAGTTTGCTTCATAAAAGTATATAGTATTCAACTTGTTATTGTGCTTATCAATTTAAATGTTTCATAGCATTATTTTAACCTTGTTATTTATTCATTATTTGTTATATTACTTCTTTTTTTGCAGGAAAAAAAGAAAAGAAAAAATATCGACTCGAATTAATTGATTAGATCCACTTAAGAATTTGAGTAAATAGTCGTTAAACGGTTTTATAGATACTACTCCTGTTGAAATACTTTGGGTAATTATGTACCATTGATCTACACATAATAATACATACATCCATACTTATGTGTTTAGTGGGTGGTTATTATGGGGGTGTTCATTCGGTAGTACCGTATAGAACCGTACCGGAATCTCAGTAAACCGAATTTTTGGTACTTCAAATATTTGTACCGTTTACTGTACCGAACTATTTGGTTCGGTAAGATTTTTTACGGAATTAATTCGGTTTTTTCGGTTCGGTACCGGTAAAACCCAAGTTTAAGCAAATTCATTCTTGAATTTGAACTTTCAAATTTTAATAATCGGCCCTAAAATTAAAAAGTGATTATGATCAATGTGGCTAACTTATAAATAATTGAAAAAAATATCAATATGAAAGTATTTTATAATTTGTTACAACCTTAAACAATTTAAAATAAAATAAAAAATAAATATTTATTAAATATTTAAATATTTCGGTATTCGGTACGGATATATCGGGCATCAATACCATATACCATATCAAATACCAGAATTACAAAAAATATTTACCGAATTTGGCACATATCGAATTTTTTTGATTCGGTTTGGTTCGCCCGATTTATCGGCCAAGTGATCCCCCTAGTTATTTATATAGATCCATGACTCAAAATCAGCCGATATTTTTCTATCATGTGTAGCATCTCCTAGACTCATTACAATCGGTTAACCAATCCAGTACTTCCGAGTTATTTCATGTCAGCTGGATTCGAGTCAAAACCTAGTCCTTGACCGGATTCATATGTATAATGAAACCTATTGACCTAATTCTAAAATTTCATGGGTACAATTTACACAATTGAACTTATAGGTAGAACTTGCAATGCATGTACTTCAAATGCAGACTAAATTTATTTTGGATGGCAACAAGTTTTAAATAGTGTGGGTGAAGTGGGGCATCTCACTTAAGAAACTTGCAATTGGTATACAAAATTCATTTAATTTCTACCCATTCTCTTAATTGGACGGTGAAGAATTAATAGAGATTGGAGTACATCAGCAATTATATTTATTGAAGATATTTATACTACTACGTGTTTAGTTTGTATTGGTTATAAAATATTTTCCCTCCTCTGAATTATTTGTAGTTTGGGAAAACGGCATGTCCCGAAAAAGGGGATAAGGAAGCTTGAGAGAAATATGTAAATATAAAAAGTATAGGGATATATTTATAAATATGCTCTATAAAAACATATATGAAATTTTACGTATATATAATTCATTTTATATATTTTCATATAGATATATTCAAAATAAGTAGTACTATCATTGAACTATCAATCTGCAACTGATTATTAAACTATGTAAAAAAGTTAGAAAAATAATAAAAGTATTTGGAAATTCGTCATTCGAACATGTTTATAACTTTCCAGAAATTGCAATTGCTCATTAAGTGTACGACTGATGTAGTCGGTGTGTCGGACACGAAACATGTACAAAATGAAGATACGTTAAGAAATTTAAATTTTCCGTGCTACATAGGTAACAACAAATTGAAAAAGAAAGAATTTTTTGTTCTTGTTTATGCACCATTAGAATTTTATAACGACAAATATTTTAAAGTAACTTTTGTTTTTTCTAAAGATTAATGCATCATTTGAAATTTGAGGTTTTGTCAACTGGTTACAACTAAGACAATTGAATCTTGACCCAATGAAACTATTTTCTCTCTAATGCTAAATTATTGAGTACTAAATATGCTTAACAAGATGAGTTGCCCATATAAGTAGTTCAAAAAATAAATATACTCGATATAATATTTATGCACTATAACTACGGCAAACAATTTTTTTTCATTAAACTATAAAAGATTCATTGATTGCCATATTTAAAGTTGGCGGGTTGAATGGTACAACAATGCATTAAACTTATTGACTGTATGTCTATACTTCAAGTAGTAAAACTATTATTTAGTATGACTAGTAATTTTTTATCATGTATTAAATTTATTGATAAGCTGTTAAAAATAACTTATAACATGTTTAAGAGTTTATAAGCTTTTCTTAAATGTTTGGGTTTTTTTTAATACAGCTGAAGATCTTTGAAGATATTTAAAAAAAAAAACCATCAATCTCACCTTTTTAATTAAAATTTTAAATGAGTGAAAATAGCTTATAATGTTATATCCAAACACTTCAAATATTAATTATAAAAATAAGAAATAATAGCTTATCAATTCTTAAAACAGCTTATGAGACATATGAGTTTATCAACAATTTAAAATAAATTTAATCATACGGGCTCTTAATACTTGTTACGTGTGTTAATTTAAACATAATGCTGGTATTTACAACAAGCAATGGCCATATTATAGAAAAATACCAAATTAACTATAGTGATATGCTTATCCCTCAACCAAATATATCCTAAGAAAATATCATGTTATCTGAACTTATTTTGTCAATTCTCTCCCTAAAAAGATAGGACTCTTGAAAAATAAAATATCACCAATCATAAATTTGTTATTGTAATTTTTATGTATTTTATTTTATTTTATTTTATTTTTTTTTTTTTTTTTTTTTTGATAATGCAGGAACCCGCAGCCAACCACCCGCAGCCAACCATATAGGTGCACTGGGTAAACCTACACTCTCGTATAATAGCTTGCAAACCATACGAGAGATGTAAACCACACTAGGCTAACCATGTGTGACAAGCTCGACCTAGCGACCGTTGGCAAGGGGATTCGAACTTGGGTCAATTGACCCAAGCTCTCTTGCTCCAACCACTAGGCCACCCTTGCGGGTTGTAATTTTTATGTATTATTATTATTAATATTGGTGTATGTCTAAATTACCCAGTGCACTAATATAATTAGCTGCGGGTTCCTTCATTAAAAAAATCAAGATTAATAGATACTAAATACTAAACTGTTACAATCTTACTTAATTAAATTCGACGTGAACCAATTTGGGCTAATTCATTTAGACAATATTCTCCTTGGACTCCATTATAAATAATGAGAATTTCCTCAAGACATGGACAAATTTTTGCAGCTCCATAAATTTCCTACGCTCAAAACATAAAAAAATTAAAATATAATAAAACAAATTTAAAAAAAAAAAAAGTAAAAAGAGAAAAAAAAAATGCACTTCAAATAGAGCACCGAGCGGTCCCCAAACAAACTAAAAAAGGCATCCTTTAGGCTTTAACAAACACACAATATATACCCAAACTACCCTCCATCCAAAATTCCCGCCAAAAACATAACAAAAAGTACCAAACCCGAAACAAAGCAAAACCGGGCCGGACTTTTGCATATCCGACCCGGCAAGTCGCCGTCACACAATTCACAACAGTGGGGGCCCCACATACTTTTAATAATCCGTCTGTCTTCCATTACCACAAAACCCCAGTTGTTGTTCCAATTTTCTTTTTGTTCTTACATGCACATTTTATTTAATTTTATTTATCCCTATATATAAATCACATTTTGACTCCCCCACTCTCACACTACCTACACTCAATAATGATAATGCCTCCGGCACCGCCCCTCACGGCGGCGAAAACCCTAGCCCCACTCCTCCTCCTCCTCATCCTCACCGGGCCCGTATTTTGTTGGCGGCCCTGGCCCACCACAAAGCCCAACTCGACAGATATTCTCTACGGCGGGTCCAAAAGGTACGAGGGCTCATCGGAATTCGTCCACCTCAAATACCACATGGGCCCAGTCCTCACTGCCAATATTACCGTCTACCCCATCTGGTACGGCACGTGGCAACCCTCCCACAAGCGGATTATCCGCGAATTCATCTCCTCAATCTCCGCCGCCGATTCCAAGCCGCCGTCCGTCGCCGGTTGGTGGAGAACCGTCCAGCAGTACACCGATCAGACCGGCGACAACATAACCCGGTCGGTCCGGGTCGGGGAGGAGAAGAACGACCGGTTCTACTCCCACGGGAAGTCGCTCACGCGCCTCTCCGTGCAGTCCGTGATAAAGTCGGCGGTCTCGGCCGCCACGCGCCCGCTGCCGGTCAACCCGAAGAGCGGGGTCTACCTCCTGCTGACGTCGGATGACGTGCACGTGCAGGACTTCTGCAACAACATATGCGGCTTCCACTACTTCACCTTCCCTTCGATCGTGGGGTACACGCTACCGTACGCCTGGGTGGGGAACTCCGCTAAAATGTGCCCCGGCGTGTGCGCCTACCCCTTCGCCGTGCCGGAATACATCCCAGGGCTGACGGCCGTTAAGTCGCCTAACGGCGACGTCGGTGTGGACGGGATGATTAGCGTGATAGCGCACGAGATAGCTGAGCTGGCCACGAACCCGTTGGTCAACGCTTGGTACGCCGGCGGGGACCCGGTCTTCCCCGTGGAAATAGCGGATTTGTGCGAGGGGATATACGGAACCGGCGGGGGCGGGTCGTACACTGGGCAGATGTTGAACGGCCGGGATGGTGCCACGTATAATATGAATGGGATCCGACGGCGGTTCTTGGTTCAGTGGGTTTGGAACCATTTGTTGAATTACTGTACTGGCCCTAATGCACTTGATCACTAGTAAATCAAGCTCTTCTTCTTTTTACTCTTTTTTTTTTTTGTTTAAAATCACTTTTTTTCTTTTCTTGTTTCTATTTTGTATGGGCTTCTTTTGGCTTTTTTAAAAGAAAATATTGTTTTTGTTTAATTTTGGGGTTTTTAATTTGTTACTAATGGATGATTAATTAATCAAAGATTTTAACATTTTTGTTCAATTATGAAAATAATTAAGCTTTGGTTAATTGGTGAAGTGGCAGTAAACATTATTCTAGTAATCTGTGTGTGTGTGTGTATTTATATAGTTACTTGATGCTTTTTGGATGTTATTTTACAATGGATTTAAATTTGTTTTATATTCCCCTTATTTTCTGATAATGAAAGGCTTATTTGCATTCTTGATTTTTGCAAAAATACATTTTCCAGATTTTTGCTAGTAGATTTCATTAAATATTTAAATGGATAAATTACGATCACCCTTGAAATAAAGTTAAATTACGAAAAAACTCTCTTATATTTGGGTAATTACAATCACTTTCTTCAATTATAAATTTTCTTATACGTTCACCTTTACGATGTTAAATTCAACATAATTATCTAGGTTTCGTGGAATGTTCTCTCGTTTGAATTTGTTTTGTACAAACACGTAGTTTCTGATGCATAATAATCTGATATTTACAAGTTAAGAAACACATATTTAGATTATCGGACTCAAAATGTAGAGCTCAAATGGAGGAAACTAGCAACAAACTGGATAGTTTTCTTCATAATTCTAGAAAAATTTC